TATTCTGTCGAACTTTCTTCTCCTTATAAGTTCAGAACGAACAAACAAAATAAGCTGTTGGCTATTTGTTTTACAAAATAAACCAGTTCATACCCTTTTACTATTTCAGCTTACAAGCGCAAAAGTGGATACATTCATATAGTAAGGCTGATTCCTCATGATCCAACTTTTTTAACTTCTATGGAAGCATTCAAAGTACGTGGATCATAGTAAAGTTTACTGTGCCGTTAATTAAAGAAATAGCAGTACTTCGACCTCGTGATATTATAAATCGTATTCATTTTAAGTAAGGGCCGAGACACCATATATGGTAGTAAAGCTATTAGGTCACACAGTTAATTTTTCGTTTTGCTCAAAAATTCGTTTGATTGGTCGGATTTTTGTGTTTTCTTTTTAATTCTGAATAATGAATAATAACTCAAACACTTATTTAATCACGAAATGAGGCAATTTATCAGTATATCATGATGGTTAAATCGGCTAGCAATTTTGACGGTATATTTGGGCCCTTATTTGTAATAATTTTCAAATATTAGGCCTTTATCTGTAATTATTTTCATTTTGGGCCCTTATTTGTAATTATTTTCATTTTTGGGCCCTTATCTAAAATATATATAATAAGAATCTGCTTCGTCCCCATATTTGGGACGGTTCTACCTCGACATGAATTCTGAACACGTGCGAAAGAAAAAAAAGCGAAAATATTCAAAAATTAGTGTTAAATCGAACTTGATGCACTAATTACAGTAAAAATGTCGGGAGCGAAATTTTAAATATATATAATGAGCAACAGTCTATTGTTATAGCCTTAAATGTTAACGCCCTAACCTAAACTTCTACAGTACCAGACAGTAAAACGCATCCAATGTTTATTAGTAAAAACTTTAAAGTGTTATAAAACAAGCTAAATCAAAAAACCCTGACAAATTGATAGATTTTTAGATAAACTACATTTTTGTCAGAGGATTTTTTTTTATTCTTTGTTTTGAAAAAGTTATAAAGGGTTAAAGTTTATATGAGTTCAAAAAAATTGGCGTTTAATATAGAAAAAAAGAAAACATATATATTTTTAACCAATCAGAATCAATTACACAAAATTAGCCAATCAGAATTGATTATATAAGCATCAAAAATTGGCGCCTCTATGTATAGATTACCCGTACTGCACTTAGTTTATTTACAAAATTCGGTTTCCTTTTTTGGTTTGTGTTACTCACGAAAATAACATAAATAAACTGCTCCTGCTCCAATCAGATAGATTTTTTAAGCCGCGTCCGTGTCCACCACTATAAAGAGTTGTAGAAAGAAATTATCTAAATCGCCAATGAAAGAAATATCGGATTATTTCGAGAAAACCAAGAAACCATCGTTAACAGACTTTTTACTATACAGGCGACAGCAACATGATTTCTCATACGACAAAGCAAAGGAACATTTGATATACAGAATATCTTTAGAAACATTATGTGTTGATAACGCGTGGGCTAAAAACCTTTTAGACAATTTCGATGTTAAGTGCATATTACCTTTTATTATTTGAGAATAGGGCAATTTCATGTGTTCAAGGACTAGAATACGTTCCGGTCACTGAGACAATAACGTGACGTATTGACAACCTCCGAGTAGTTGGCTGATTTCGATTGGCTGATGATAGCGGATTTCGATCTCTCGGGCGTCCTTGAACTAAGAGCTAGAATACGTTCCAGTCGCAATAGAGACAATACATGACGTATTGACAACCCCCGAGTAGCTGCCTGATTACGGTTGGTTAGTGATAGTGGACTACGGTTCCCTCGGGCGTCCTTGGACTAGAATAGTGGATTTCGATTCCCTTGGATGCTCTTACATGTTATTGCCAAAATAAAAATAACTTTAAAAACATTAACGTGTTTTTTTTTTAATAATTAGCAAGAAAGGATCTCTCCAAGCGTAGTAAAATTCTGGGCCTCAATCAACAAAGAATTAACTGACATCAAAATTAGAAACGAAGAGGTTTGTGAGCTACTGTAGATATATTAATTAATATTTGTCAGGGATGATGCTAAAATTTTAACTTATTTTACTATGAAATTTTAAATTTTTTTGGATGTTTTTTTAGCTTTGTCTTTATATATATATGCATATATCGTTAGATTAGAATTTAGAGTTAGTGTTTATAATAACAGAATATAGGCGGACTTTAGTAGGGTTTATATTTTCAAATTGAAGCTTCAAATTTCAGCATCATTCCCGACAATATTTATGTTCAAACTGATAAATTTTGATTCTTCATTATTAATAGAATGAATATGACTTAAATTTGGCCACCAATGTGAATAAACAAATGGGAACATACGTTAATGCTATTACTACTCGTCTTACAAAATGATTGTTGGAGTGTATAACAGAAAGCACACCAAAACGTGTAACAAAGGTTCGTACTGAGTCTATTGAAAATTTAGTTGATTTTACTAATTTTATACAAAATTTATTACTAGACAATGGAGGATGATCCAAAAATCCTTTTGTTGTATCTGGGACACCTAATGAGACTGATGAAAATAATTCATTTTATCATCCAAG